TCAATACTTAAAAGACTGATGGAAACCAAGCAAACAATACTTTTATTCTCTCAAGCTGAGAAAGAAAATAGAAAAATATAAATCAATACTTAAAAGACTCATGGAAACCAAGCAAAAGTGGACGCATCAAAAGGCTGTTGAGATATGCTGAGGTTGGGTTTCTGCTCAATTGAACTTGCATATGAAAACGCGTCATCTTTATCATTAGCATGAACCATTTGCTGCTGATACTGCAGCTGCAGCTGTTGTTGTCTCAGTGCATCTTGAACTGCCATTTCATCCTTGATCCTTTTTATCTCATCTTGACCTTGAATTATCTGTTGTTGCAATCGATTGATTTCTCCAACACACCCATAAACAGGATCCTTAACACGTATATTCGCTTCATAACACATGCTATCCGCAGCCTTAGCTCGTAAATGCTCCTGAAGTCTCTGGATTAGAAGTAACAAATAAAATACTCTATTTGTGACTGAAAATGGCTTTCTATATGCTAATACTAATGCCTAATAAGTGGAAATCATATAAAAGAATCATTTTTTGTTTTGATCCTTACCGTTAGAATTCTGGTAATATTGCTGGCACCATAGACTTGATGAGCAAATGAGAATCTCTGAGGATTGGTTGAGGGAAAATATGGCTTTAGAACACAATCTGGTGGACATCTTCTCCTCAAATATTTGCAGCCAGCACATCTAGTTGATTTTTTCATTGTCACAATCTTGTGAATCTCTTCAAATATTTCTTGGCACAAGATGATTCTGTCAGAATTGGTTCTTAATTTAAAGGGAGATTTTGTGCTATATATTTTGGGGATAAGATATTGTGACACACAAATAATATTACGCACAATGTTACGACCATATCTTAACCGTTGATTTTCGCCAATCAACGGTTATCATTTTTCAAATCAAACTCATTAATTAATTATTAATTCGCAATAAATGATAACCGTTGATTGGCGGAAATCAATGGTTAAGATGTGGTCGTAACATTGTGCGTAACATTATTTGTGTGACACAATATCCTATCCCTTTATTTTGAAATGTATCGGCTAGTTTTTTCTCTTGCTACTATTTAATGAGGAAGAAACAAAAAGGAAAGTTTTCGAATGAAAGGAAAAAAAAAACGAAAATTATTCCTCTAATTTGCTTCTATTAAATGAGATTATAATTCAGAATGATGGGATAATTAAGACTGATTTCGAGGTGAGGAGGAATCAAAGTACTGATTTGCATTTGCCTTCTCTCTTGCTTTTTTAGTCTAACGAATCCTTTTCTTAATTTCAATATAGATAGTTTTTAAAAACAAATAGAAATTTTGTAATTGTCACGTGTGAACGGAATCTAATAACAATCAGGTATATCTCTTTTTGCTATTATTAAATTAAGTTGAAGAAAGAAAACGAAAATTTGTGAACGAAAGGGAAAAAAAAACAAAATTTTCCTGTAATTTACTAGTACTAAATGAGATTGAAATTCAGAATGATAGGAGAATTATGATTTTACTCTGGGTAATTTCAAAAGGTAAGGAATTAAGGTACTGATTTGCCTTCTTCCTTCTTTAGCTCAATGAATCCTTTTTCTTTCTCTTTTTTTTCAATTTAGAAAGTTTTTATAATTTTTTGGAAACAACTAAAATTTTTGCAATTACCAGATCTAATTAGAATATGTACATTTTCTCATTATTACTTATATATATATATATATATATATATATATATATATATATATATATATATATAGATCACAAAAGAAAATAAGTCCATTGGAGAAAATAATTCCTCACTAGGGCGCTACTCAATTTGATCAATGACTAAACTGCTTTACACAATGAACAAGTACAAAAATATAGCGTGATTGAAAAATAGTACGTTAGGAAAATACTCTTACGAAGTGATATTTGAATAAATAATTTAAAAAAGTATGACATATTATATAGTTACTCCTAATAAGCCTATTGATACATAAAAATTGAAAAATGAGTGGGTCATTTTTGTAGTTGCCTCACATATTTTCATACAATTTTCTCTACCAAATAATCAAGTCCATCTACATGATGAATCAAAAAAAGGTAAGGTGATACGCTATCACTCGTGAATAGTTATAAAGTGGTAAAAACTTTCATTTTTTTCCCCGTTCCAAAGAACTTGCAAGTTTTAACATGCACCAGCGCTTTCTGTTTAGTTTTTCTGAGCTAAGCCCTCCATTTATATATAAAAAAAAAACTTGCAAGTAACACGGAGAATTAGTTCAACTTAAGAATTACATTTTTTCAATGTCAGGTTGTTGTGAATCTCTTCAAATATCTAGGCACAAGATGATTGATGATTCTATCAGATTTTGGTTCTTAATTTATAGGGAGATTTTGTGCAATTTTAAAATGTATCGGCTAGTTTTTTCTCCTTAAAATCACTCTTTGTTACTATTTAATGAGGAAGAAACAAAAGGAAAGTTTTCAAATGAAAGGAAAAAAAAAACAATTATTCCTCTATTTTGCTACTATTTAATGAGATTGTAATTCAGAATGATAGGATAATTAAGATTTCACTGATCAGGTAGTGTTTGGTTCAGGTTTTATTTTTAGATCTCCATCCATCTGATATTGACATTCCATGTTGCCTCGTTTGGTAGAAGAAATACAAAAACTTACTCACCAAAATATTTTCCCCAGCAAGTGGCAGAGCCACGTTCTGCTTAGGTAGGGCCTGGTCCCCAGCTATATTTCAGTAAATTTTATTTATCATATATAATTATATAAATAACTATAATTGGGCCTTATCTCAAATTGTAAGTTGGCCCTAGCTAAATTTATAACAGTGGTATCAGACGAAGATTTTGAGCTGCTTTGTGGGTGTAACCAGGTAATGCTTTCTTCTTAATTTCTTATTCTTCTTTCATCTTTTTCTAATTAGGATTTTCTTCTAACCTTTTTTTTTTCTTATTCGCACTCACCAACCGAAACCCAGCCATTATGTGACAATGTACAATGTTTCATTCCTTTCTCAAGATTTTACGGATACATGTTCTTAGAATATGCATTGGTAATTATATTATCCGATAGGAAAGATTTACAGTTTTGAACATTGTAAAAGATAATTTTTTTTGTCTTTGCTGACCATAATTGTTTATTGGGTGTTTCAAACATAAGTGAAATTCATGCCCTTTTTTTTATTTACAACTTTTTTGTGTGGTTGTTTTATTGATTTTATTTCTTTTAAAAAATGGAGTGTTGTATTACGTTTACTTTTTTTTTTTAAAGTTTAATGTAGAGCTATAGTTGCTATTAGTAATGAAATTAAATTGTTTCTTGGTGTTATTTGTATTTGATTTCACAACAGGAATAAAAATTTTGGCGATTAATCAGTGAAAACTGTTAAAGAGAAAATTCAATGAAGATATATGTATATATATGGAGTATGAAAATTTCTTGTACATACCCATTAATAAATTCTCTGTTTTTTTTGTTGTATTTTTAATTTTTTTAAATATTAAAATATTATTTAAATGATTTATATGGATCCAATGTCATCTAATTGTGAAATTTGCTCTGTCCCTTTATGTTCATGTTCTTCACAGGTTACGACTAGGGGTGTAAATATGGCAGGTTGGGCCTGCAGGCTTTGGCTTTAATAGCCTAAGCTTATCTAAAGTATTTAGAATCTATACTGACCTATTAGCCTATTAAAGGCTTGATTTATTGGTTTGGTCTGACCTATTATAAAAAATTAAAAAACCTAATGCGGCCTGTAAGGCCTACCAAGTTGCAAACTAAGGAGGTGTACTGGATTAGGATTTCAGAAGATTTTAATGGATTATTTTTAGACAAAAAATCCATTGGTATTCAATTAGAATTTTAAAGGATTGAAAAAAAGTCATGTGGTATTCGATTAGGATTTTAAAATATTAATTTAGACTACGTCCAAATCCGTTGGTAATCAATCAGGATTTTAAACAAAGGAAAAACAATAGGGGAAGGATATTGTAACAACCAAGTTGTGTTACTACCAAGTTACTACCAATCAATCTCACTGTTAGATCGATTATGTTGATCCAACGGTTATATTTATTTCCATCTTTATATGATCATGATTTCCCAAATTTAATACTTTATATTTATTTCCACCTTTGTATGGTTATGATTTCTCATATTTAATGCTTTCACTTTAAATATAGGAAATCATGATCATATAAAGATGGAAATAACTTAAATTATTATAAAAAATAAATAATAATACAGAGATTTTAATTTATTAAATTGGGAAATAAGCATAACATGTAAAGGGTAGAAGTGGGAGAGATATTAGTGTTATGATATACTGTAATCATATAAATTGTGACATTATATACAGGGAAATCATTTTCTTATGCTGTAGAAGAAATCACTCTCCTATTTTTCTCATATAAAAAATGAGCCATTTTTTTTTTTTAAATTGGTGGACCCCATTTCATTTGTGTGTGAGAACTTGGACTTCTCTCCTACTATATATAAGGGAAGTAAAACCCTTATATTTATAGTGTATAGCAAGAGTGTAGTTTATGATCACAATTGTTGATTAATTGAGTTTTGATTCATTGTGGTGGTATTTGACTTGGTTTTGATGAATTTGAGATGGATTGAATTGAACAGCAGACGATTTTGAACCACTGGTTGTGACTGAGTTATAGAAGGCTATGCTCAAGAAATGTACAGCAAAATTTCTCTGATTGCTCACTCAACTCAATCAAATAACTTCTGTTTGTTCTACACTGTTGAACAATTGAGGAGTAAAAAGTTTTATTTAAGAGAAACTCGAATTTCATATACTTTCACTTCGAATATAAAAAAGACTACTTTGATCTACACCCATTCACTCAATACTTTTATTCTCTCAAGCTGAGAAAGAAAATCGAAAAATATAAATCAATACTTAAAAGACTCATGGAAACCAAGCAAACAATACTTTTATTCTCTCAAGCTGAGAAAGAAAATAGAAAAATATAAATCAATACTTAAAAGACTCATGGAAACCAAGCAAAGGTGGACGCATCAAAAGGCTGTTGAGATATGCTGAGGTTGGGTTTCTGCTCAATTGAACTTGCATATGAAAACGCGTCATCTTTATCATTAGCATGAACCATTTGCTGCTGATACTGCAGCTGCAGCTGTTGTTGTCTCAGTGCATTTTGAACTGCCATTTCATCCTTGATCCTTTTTATCTCATTTTGACCTTGAATTATCTGTTGTTGCAATCGATTGATTTCTCCAACACACCTATCCTTAACACGTATATTCGCTTCATAACACATGCTATCCGCAGCCTTAGCTCGTAAATGCTCCTGAAGTCTCTGGATTAGAAGTAACAAATAAAATACTCTATTTGTGACTGAAAATGGCTTTCTATATGCTAATACTAATGCCTAATAAGTGGAAATCATATAAAAGAATCATTTTTTGTTTTGATCCTTACTGTTAGAATTCTGGTAATATTGCTGGCACCATAGACTTTATGAGCAAATGAGAATCTCTGAGGATTGGTTGAGGGAAAATATGGCTTTAGAACACAATCTGGTGGACATCTTCTCCTCAAATATTTGCAGCCAGCACATCTAGTTGATTTTTTCATTGTCACATTCTTGTGAATCTCTTCAAATATTTCTTGGCACAAGATATATATGTTACGACCATATAAATTAGGATATTGCGTAACATTATTTGTGTGTCACAATATCCTATCCCCAAAATATATAGCACAAATCTCCCTATAAATCTTATGTTACGACCATATAAATTAGGATATTGCGTAACATTATTTGTGTGTCACAATATCCTATCTATGTTACGACCATATAAATTAGGATATTGCGTAACATTATTTGTGTGTCACAATATCCTATCCTCAAAATATATAGCACAAAATCTCCCTATAAATCTTATGTTACGACCATATAAATTAGGATATTGCGTAACATTATTTGTGTGTCACAATATCCTAACCCCAAAATATATAGCACAAAATCTCCCTATAAATTAAGAACCAATTCTGACAGAATCATCTTGTGCCAAGAAATATTTGAAGAGATTCACAAGAATGTGACAATGAAAAAATCAACTAGATGTGCTGGCTGCAAATATTTGAGGAGAAGATGTCCACCAGATTGTGTTCTAAAGCCATATTTTCCCTCAACCAATCCTCAGAGATTCTCATTTGCTCATAAAGTCTATGGTGCCAGCAATATTACCAGAATTCTAACGGTAAGGATCAAAACAAAAAATGATTCTTTTATATGATTTCCACTTATTAGGCATTAGTATTAGCATATAGAAAGCCATTTTCAGTCACAAATAGAGTATTTTATTTGTTACTTCTAATCCAGAGACTTCAGGAGCATTTACGAGCTAAGGCTGCGGATAACATGTGTTATGAAGCGAATATACGTGTTAAGGATCCTGTTTATGGGTGTGTTGGAGAAATCAATCGATTGCAACAACAGATAATTCAAGGTCAAAATGAGATAAAAAGGATCAAGGATGAAATGGCAGTTCAAAATGCACTGAGACAACAACAGCTGCAGCTGCAGTATCAGCAGCAAATGGTTCATGCTAATGATAAAGATGACGCGTTTTCATATGCAAGTTCAATTGAGCAGAAACCCAACCTCAGCATATCTCAACAGCCTTTTGATGCGTCCACCTTTGCTTGGTTTCCATGAGTCTTTTAAGTATTGATTTATATTTTTCTATTTTCTTTCTCAGCTTGAGAGAATAAAAGTATTGTTTGCTTGGTTTCCATCAGTCTTTTAAGTATTGATTTATATTTTTCGATTTTCTTTCTCAGCTTGAGAGAATAAAAGTATTGAGTGAATGGGTGTAGATCAAAGTAGTCTTTTTTAAATTCGAAGTGCAAGTATATGAAATTCGAGTTTCTCTTAAATAAAACTTTTTACTCCTCAATTGTTCAACAGTGTAGAACAAACAGAAGTTATTTGATTGAGTTGAGTGAGCAATCAGAGAAATTCTGCTGTACACTTCTTGAGCATAGCCTTCTACAACTCAGTCACAACCAGTGGCTCAAAATCGTCTGCTGTTCAATTCAATCCATCTCAAATTCATCAAAACCAAGTCAAATTCCACCACAATGAATAAAAACTCAATTAATCAACAATTGTGATCATAAACTACTCTTGCTATACACTATAAATATAAGGGTTTTACTTCCCTTATATATAGTAGGAGAGAAGTCCAAGTTCTCACACACAAATGAAATGGGGTCCACCAATTTAAAAAAAAATGGCTCATTTTTTATATGAGAAAAATAGGAGAGTGATTTCTTCTACAACATAAGAAAATGATTTCCCTGTATATAATGTCACAATTTATATGATTACAGTATATCAAAACACTAATATCTCTCCCACTTCTACCCTTTACATATTATGCTTATTTCCCAATTTAATAAATTAAAATCTCTGTATTATTTTTTATTTTTTATAATAATTTAAGTTATTTCCATCTTTATATGATCATGATTTCCTATATTTAAAGTGAAAGCATTAAATATGAGAAATCATAACCATACAAAGGTGGAAATAAATATAAAGTATTAAATTTGGGAAATCATGATCATATAAAGATGGAAATAAATATAACCGTTGGATCAACATAATCGATCTAACAGTGAGATTGATTGGTAGTAACTTGGTAGTAACACAACTTGGTTGTTACAATATCCTTCCCCTATTGTTTTTCCTTTGTTTAAAATCCTGATTGAATACCAACGGATTTGGACGTAGTCTAAATTAATATTTTAAAATCCTAATCGAATACCACATGACTTTTTTTCAATCCTTTAAAATTCTAATTGAATACCAATGGATTTTTTGTCTAAAAATAATCCATTAAAATCTTCTGAAATCCTAATCCAGTACACCTCCTTAGTTTGCAACTTGGTAGGCCTTACAGGCCGCATTAGGTTTTTTAATTTTTTATAATAGGTCAGACCAAACCAATAAATCAAGCCTTTAATAGGCTAATAGGTCAGTATAGATTCTAAATACTTTAGATAAGCTTAGGCTATTAAAGCCAAAGCCTGCAGGCCTAACCTGCCATATTTACACCCCTAGTCGTAACCTGTGAAGAACATGAACATAAAGGGACAGAGCAAATTTCACAATTAGATGACATTGGATCCATATAAATCATTTAATCAATATTTTAATATTTAAAAAAAAAACAACAAAAAAAAAACAAAGAATTTATTAATGGGTATGTACAAGAAATTTTCATACTCCATATATATACATATATCTTCATTGAATTTTCTCTTTAACAGTTTTCACTGATTAATCGCCAAAATTTTTATTCCTGTTGTGAAATCAAATACAAATAACACCAAGAAACAATTTAATTTCATTACTAATAGCAACTATAGATCTACATTAAACTTTAAAAAAAAAAAAAGTAAACGTGAAACAACACTCCATTTTTTAAAAGAAATAAAATCAATAAAACAACCACACAAAAAAGTTGTAAATAAAAAAAAGGGCATGAATTTCACTTATGTTTGAAACACCCAATAAACAATTATGGTCAGCAAAGACAAAAAAAATTCTCTTTTACAATGTTCAAAACTGTAAATCTTTCCTATCGGATAATATAATTACCAATGCATATTCTAAGAACATGTATCCGTAAAACAATTATTCCTCTATTTTGCTACTATTTAATGAGATTGTAATTCAGAATGATAGGATAATTAAGATTTCACTGATCAGGTAGTGCTTGGTTCAGGTTTTATTTTTAGATCTCCATCCATCTGATATTGACATTCCATGTTGCCTCGTTTGGTAGAAGAAATACAAAAACTTACTCACCAAAATATTTTCCCCAGCAAGTGGCAGAGCCACGTTCTGGTTAGGTAGGGCCTGGGCCCCAGCTATATTTCAGTAAATTTAATTTATTATATATAATTATATAAATAACTATAATTGGGCCCTATCTCAAATTGTAAGTTGGCCCTAGCTAAATTTATAACAGTGGTAACAGACGAAGATTTTCAGCTGCTTTGTGGGTGTAACCAGGTAATGCTTTCTTCTTAATTTCTTATTCTTCTTTCATCTTTTTCTAATTAGGATTTTCTTCTAACCTTTTTTTTTTCTTATTCGCACTCACCAACCGAAACCCAGCCATTATGTGACAATGTACAATGTTTCACTCCTTTCTCAAGATTTTACGGATACATGTTCTTAGAATATGCATTGGTAATTATATTATCCGATAGGAAAAAAATTGATTTACAGTTTTGAACATTGTAAAAGAGAATTTTTTTTGTCTTTGCTGACCATAATTGTTTATTGGGTGTTTCAAACATAAGTGAAATTCATGCCCTTTTTTTTATTTACAACTTTTTTGTGTGGTTGTTTTATTGATTTTATTTCTTTTAAAAAATGGAGTGTTGTTTCACGTTTACTTTTTTTTTTTTTAAGTTTAATGTAGAGCTATAGTTGCTATTAGTAATGAAATTAAATTGTTTCTTGGTGTTATTTGTATTTGATTTCACAACAGGAATAAAAATTTTGGCGATTAATCAGTGAAAGCTGTTAAAGAGAAAATTCAATGAAGATATATGTATATATATGGAGTATGAAAATTTCTTGTACATACCCATTAATAAATTCTTTGTTTTTTTGTTGTATTTTTAATTTTTATAAATATTAAAATATTGATTAAATGATTTATGTGGATCCAATGTCATCTAATTGTGAAATTTGCTCTGTCCCTTTATGTTCATGTTCTTCACAGGTTACGACTAGGGGTGTAAATATGGCAGGTTAGGCCTGCAGGCTTTGGCTTTAATAGCCTAAGCTTATCTAAAGTATTTAGAATCTATACTGACCTATTAGCCTATTAAAGGCTTGATTTATTGGTTTGGTCTGACCTATTATAAAAAATTAAAAAACCTAATGCGGCCTTTAAGGCCTACCAAGTTGCAAACTAAGGAGGTGTACTGGATTAGGATTTCAGAAGATTTTAATGGATTATTTTTAGACAAAAAATCCATTGGTATTCAATTAGAATTTTAAAGGATTGAAAAAAAGTTATGTGGTATTCGATTAGGATTTTAAAATATTAATTTAGACTACGTCCAAATCCGTTGGTATTCAATCAGGATTTTAAACAAAGGAAAAACAATACGGGAAGGATATTGTAACAACCAAGTTGTGTTAGTACCAAGTTACTACCAATCAATCTCACTGTTAGATCGATTATGTTGATCCAACGGTTATATTTATTTCCATCTTTATATGATCATGATTTCCTAAATTTAATACTTTATATTTATTTCCACCTTTGTGTGGTTATGATTTCTCATATTTAATGCTTTCACTTTAAATATAGGAAATCATGATCATATAAATATGGAAATAACTTAAATTATTATAAAAAATAAATAATAATACAGAGATTTTAATTTATTAAATTGGGAAATAAGCATAATATGTAAAGGGTAGAAGTGGGAGAGATATTAGTGTTTTGATATACTGTAATCATATAAATTGTGACATTATATACAGGGAAATCATTTTCTTATGCTGTAGAAGAAATCACTCTCCTATTTTTCTCATA